AATGACCCCCCCCCCCCCCCCCCCCCCCCCCCCCCCGTATGTAAAGCAGATTGCTTCTTTTAACATGCGGAATGCAAGCAATATAAGTCCATTGATCTTATTTTTCTTGTCTAATAAATTTTCGTGTAAAGCTATTCTTATTGTATTGCACGTTATACGACTCGTTAAACCAGAGTCCCCATGTTATAGCCTACAGATGTTAGTCTTCAGAAATCATAATATTTCTAGCGTCAAATGTACCTGCAACTGAAATTCCGGAAGAAACACCACCGAACAGAAAGAGCAGTAAGTTCTTTTAATAAACGGTCGTATACTAATGCAGACGGAATAGATATAATTATGGAGATGAAATATACCTAAATAATTTAATTTTCAAATTATTTTATAATATGAGTTTACTATCAGTAGTAATTTGTGATACGTCAGCTTCTTTAACACATATTGCAATCACGTCAACTATGTTATGAATACCGTTGTCCATGCTCTAAATCCAGCTGTCGGTGTTGTCGTCGGCGGAGTTGTTGCAGCCATATTGGTGGTGGCAGGTGTGGCTATCGCAGTTTTGGTATATATGAGGTAATGATCGGATACCAGGGAATGTGACTACAGTAGAACACGTTTTACATGTGAAGGTTTTTTCTCTATCCAGTCAGGCGTATAGCATTGCTATTCCAATATATTTAAGTGCAATCTGATGGATAGTCATTAACCTTACATATCAACATGTTGATGCAATGAAGTCCGAAAGTATAAAACCCACATGCCATTTGTCTTGTTTCAATCCATTCATCTCTACTCTATAGAAATAGAAACGATTACTTTGTATTAACATAGGAGGGCATTTGGTAGTGCGTATCGGTAAGAGCTATAGCAGTAAATTTGTAATAAATTTATATATTTTATATCCTATATTACTCACAATATGTTAAACTTTGTTAGAAGGCGGAGGCTTGGATGCGAAGCCCACCGTTCAAGTGGTGCACCTAGTAGAGAAATGACGACGTTAAATCTAAAGAAAGACAGAGAAGGTATGTTGAATGAATTTCAGGGGCGTATATAGGATGACAGATATGTACAGTACAGCTTTGGCGTGATTTGAGGCTTGTACAATTTTCGAAGTGTATGCTTTGGATATCTTGTTGTAGATTCAGACAAATGAGGAATGAAAATTGAATCACATATACCGTATTTACGTAAATGTCTAGTACATGCTCCAGTTTTTATTTTTATTTGTTTCACCATTTGATAATACAAGTAAGTTTAAGCTATTGGGCCTATTTATGGTTATTCCCATCAACTGTAATTCCCTTTTTAAAAATCTTAATATAGATTACGAATTTCCAAATAACCCTATGCCGGAAAACCCCTATATGGAACTCAGCTGGGAACACTCGGATGACAGTGTGGAGCAGGACACAGATATTTCTATAGATGACATCTTCAAAGTTATGAAGACGAAAAACTGGGAAACGCTGAAAGCGGAGTTTGAGGTATGTAGTACTTGATTTGTATTGTAGGTCCATAGCATATTCAACTCGACAATATAAAACAGTTTTTAGCCATGAAGGCAATTTCTTATTCCCTGGCTAGTGTGTAGGCCTACTTTCTCGGAAGGAAAAAGAGAGAAAGATGAAAAGCTACATGTAAGTACCATGTCTTATTATAAAATGCGTCTTATGTGCATCATGATTTACACAATAAGTTAATAGAAAATAATAACTTATAAGGTTAAATAATGAGGGTTGAAAGGCGAACTTTCATTCGTTCAAGCAAGTTTATGTGTTACAAACTGAACCTAAGGAAAATAAGAGAGTTTGCGTATAGGATAGACAGTTATGGTTTGGCCATTTCCTTTCATTTTGTAGAAATTGCCAACAGTATTCACTGCAAAATGTGTCGTGGGCCAAAAGCCGGAAAATCACACGAAGAATAGATTTGAAACTATTATGCCATGTAAGTCGATCCAAGTGCATTTTGAACATTATTCGCTAGTTATTCTCAGTTAGTAGCGAAGCGAGAGTATATTAGTCTTACCTTTGCGATTATGCCGGTACTGTATGTACACCACGCGTACGTCTATTCAAAATATCAGTTTGAATTTAAATACTAGTTTAACTCCAATGAGATCGATGTCTTCATTCACTTGCACTACGTTCATTTTGTTAAAGATTCACAAAACAATACACTTAATTATCAGTCTCATGGTAGTTCTACCTTATATATTAATTTTTTATAACAGACGACCACTCCCGAGTTGCGCTCAGTCTGCTACCTGATGACCCCCATTCTGATTACATCAACGCTAACTATATAGATGTAAGTACACTTATGGGTTTTGGAGTCACTTTTTCTGTTCTTGTTTATACCTAATGTTAACATATTTGTTTTGGAGTACAAAACGTCAATTGAAAAAACAGCTAAATATGCCGCTTGCTGAAACAATAGGGAACATGGAATATGAAAATGTCTTAATGTATTTTCTTTTTATCTCATTTTAACTGAAGGGCTATGGACAAAGAGGAGTATATATCGCCTCTCAAGGTAAGGTAGTTAAGAGTTTACACGTTCATGTTTAATGCAAAAATATAATTTGTACTTTTCAATTTTTCCATTAGATTTGATAAAGGAGAGATGTTCATCAACACTTGCCCTGCAACATATAATTATTATTAAAACGTATTTAGGTCCGAAACCAAGTACCGTGAAGGATTTTTGGCGAATGGTCTGGCAAGAAGATTCACCTCTGATTGTCATGTTGACCAACTTGACGGAGGATGCTAAGGTGCTTGAGCAATAAATATATATATATATATATATATATATATATATATATATATATATAATATGTATAAACGATTATGAAACTTTCTATTTTACTGGGTAAGAGTCGTTTCAGTGATATTTTAGTTGCTATACACCAGTATATGTTTGACATAAGTGATTATATTATATTATATTATATTATATTATATTATATTATATTATATTATATTCAGGCAAAGTGCGCTAACTATTGGCCAGAGAAAGACAGCAAACAATTTGGTTTCATAGCCGTGACTTTAAAGAAGGTAGAGACTCACCCAGACTTTACAGTGCGAACGCTGCGTGTATCTATGGTGAGTCATCAGATGGGAGTTAAATCCTTAATCGAATGAATTAAATGAATGAATTAAAGGGATAATAACTCTTCGTTTCGGCTAAAAAATGAATTTTCCTGGAGTAAACAACAATTTTCCCATACTTACCAATGGCTAATGAATCCATTTTTACATTCAAAGTTAGTCCCTATTTTTTTCTAAAAAGTTTGGTTTTTTGTTAAAATCTCTTAAGGTATAGATAAAGTACGAGGCGGTGAGCTTTACGAGAAATAGAGCAGATAATTGGCGAGGCGAAGCCGAGACTATTATCTGCTCTATTTTTCGTAAAGCTCACCGCCGAGTGCTTTATCTGACTTAAAGCACGAGTAATTAACCCTGTGCATTGGTGCGTGGAACGCATTCGTTGATAACGTGACTTTACACGAAATAAAGCATGGCGCGACCTATTGTCTTTTGACAGGAGAGTGCTTTAAGAGATTTTAACAGAGTATAGCCATCAATGGAGGTCACGTGGTCTAAAGACAAGCTCAGATATCAGAATAATAGCTATAACTGCCGTTTATGTGGTAAAACAGAATATATTATATTTCTATGAGTTATTCACATTGTTTTTATTGTGAAATATAGATATCATACGAAGAGTTATTATCCCTTTAAATGAATCAGTTCTTTAGAACCGTTTCCCCACCAATATGTTATTTAAAAAGTTACGGTTCTTAGATATAGTATATGAGGGTATATGGTTCTTCTAACGCATGGTGAGTTGTAGGTAAACCAGCTATATGGAAAATATACCGTTAGCAGTGATGGTTGTGCCTGTAATTTGTTTCAGTCTAATTCTTCCACCAGAACAGTGCAACAATTCCATTTCACCGGCTGGCCTGACCATGGAGTGCCCCTAGACGCCTCAGCATTGGTGCGGTTCCGAGAGAAGGTCAAAGGCTATCAGAGAACGGTGCAATGTCGAGGTCCCATCATTGTTCATAGCAGGTTTGGATGAGTTAGAATGTTGATAAAGACAAATAACCAGTTAACCTACATGTGTATCTGCTGTATTAGTGTGATACATACTTGTACATATTTGAATATAACTAATGGCTGCAGTCAACCGTTGTGAAGAAACTGAGGGTCCGTGGAACAGAGTCCACTAATTATACATTTAATTATACAGGTTAGGGTTAGTCTGACGTAAGTGGGTCAAAAACTAGGGCGAGACTTAGCTGTGGAAATCAATGGGAAAAAGACTCTCTATCATGTGGGGCTATCTGTTATGGGTTGCTGGGGAGAGTGTTGGGAAAGAGGTAGAAGTCGCTGGGGGCTAGGACTGGACAAATGGGTTGGTGCAGGGAGGAGTTCATATACACACTCGCGCACAGATTTCATTGCAACTTGGCTAGTGTGGACTGGTGCGTTTTTCTGGTGCAGCAGATACTTTATTTATTTATTTGTTTATTTATTTATTTATTTATTTGAGTGACAAAAGTCCTGGTATTGATATGCATATATTTCTTCAATAGTGCTGGTGTTGGTAGGACTGGGACATTCATCGCCCTGGACTACCTGTTAGACCAAGCCAAGGCTGAAGGGAAGATCAACATATTCAACCTTGTTCAACATATGAGACGTTCACGTCCGATGATGATACAGACGGAGGTTAGTAATACGTGTACACAAGTTATAGTAATTCTATATAGCAATGAGGGATAGTCCATAAATATAAATATTAATATATAATTGATTCCTTTTTTAGTTGTTATGATTATTTGGTACAAGCTTTTCAGATATTAAAACAAGATATTGTATATTTTTCAATGCAGGAACAATACTTCTTCATCCACGACACCATATTGGAGGAGCTGTATTGCGGGATCACGACCGTACCGGTGCAGAAATTGCAGTCATATTTTCATAGACTAATGCAGTTGGACAGTAAATCTGGTCTGTCAAAGTTAGAGAAAGAGTTTGCTGTAAGTGTATTTCAAACACACAATACATATTTATTAGATACACGTTAAAATATTAACGGTTAAATACATTAAATATGCATAATTGGTGGTATAAATAAAACACGAATTGGGTAAATAAAACACTAATTGCGACTACATATAAACCCCCTACCCCCAAAAAATAAAAATCAAACCTATTTAGAGATTAACAGAAACCGGTAAAGGACGTACATATATCTAGATTTAAGTCAGTTTATGAAACCACAGTCTTATTCATACGTTGCCATATTATTTCTATTTTTTCGATTACAGTATTTAGTCCTTTTCCACGTTTAGATGTAAATGAGTTTTTGTTGGTTTTAAGGTTCTTCAACACATGTTTGATGGATATGATGACGCCAGCAAATCAGCATTGGATCCAGCCAATGTGAACAAAAACCGTGTCAGGAACATTACCTCAGCAAACGGATGCAGATCCTTAAATTGCGGTGCTGACATCATCAATGCTGTCTTCATCGATGTAAGCCACTTCATTCTGTGTTTTTATCGAGGTATTAAGTTTGATATTGAAAAATTGCAATATTTGTAATATATATACAGTAGGATAGAATTGTTGAACACAGTGAATTACATGTATAACCGTGTGCATATCTTATAGGCATCGAGTAGATCTGCAAGTATTCACAATGGTGTTTTAATGGTTCTTCCAGGGCTACCGCCGTGCTGATGCCTTTATCGTGACACAGACGCCTTTACCTGATACTTTGGTGGACTTCTGGAGAATGATCTATGATCACAATTCTGCCACAATAGTCATGGTGAATGAAGCGACAGATTTGGCAAAAGTAAGCCTTGCTAAAGGGAGGTCTTTACGAGTATGTTAGAGTAATTTCATATTAATGAAAATAACCATAATGATATAATTCCTAAAAATGTACATTGTATTTGCCCCGAGACCGATTCGTTGGGATGCGATATTGCAAATATACCAACAATGATGATTTTTATGCTTTACTATTTTTAATATTTTACTTTGGAACACTATCTATTAAGATGACATATCACATTATCTCCACTATTATTTATCTTTTTAGACAGATAAAATGTACGTGCCTATATCCTATGGGCCTTTCACAGTGGAAGTGATATCTACGCACGATATTGGGAATTCTTGTGCTGTCAAGGATTTGACGTTAAAAAGTAGAAATGGGGTAAGTAGCTTATCAATAGTCAATTACAGTTCATTTAATTCACTTAAATAAGATATAAATGTTTTTGCAATGGTTGTTTGCGCGCGCACGCTCGTGTGTGTGTGTGTGTGTGTGTGTGTGTGTGTGTGTGTGTGTGTGTGAGAGAGAGAGAGAGAGAGAGAGAGGGAGAGAGAGAGAGAGAGAGAGATACACTTAGCTTCATCTTGTTCAATTATGTAATTCCAGACTAACAAAGAGCCGCGCAAGATACGCCAGTTCCAGCTCCAAGGGTGGAAGACATCGGATCCCACACCGTCCTCAACAGAAGCACTCTTAGAACTATTAGATGGCGTGCAAAGCTGGCAGCAGCAGAGTGGAAACACTGTCATAACTATACACTGCATGTGAGGCATATTTAAGAATAAAGTGTGCTTATGTCTTATCTAGGGCTGCATACTACTGTTTATGTATACTAACGCATTTGGAAAATCTCTGATCACATCGTGATGCTGTTTTTCTAAGCCGCTAGTTTATTCATCTTTTCTTTTCAGTCGACTCTGCTTGTTTTTTATACAGTATCTATCTTCTCATATGGTTTGTATTAGAAAATAAGACTGGGTTCCCATCTGGATCGACCTAACTCCCTGGGGGTTCACGCTAAATTGCTATCAGCTCAAGGGGCTTAAATGTCTGTCACGCCTACCAAATCAGCTAGGGGTAAAGATAATTACGCCCTAACAGCTTTACTTGGCGTGACAGACGTTTAAGCCGGTTAGTTTGACAGCAATTTAGTGAGACTCCCCAGGGAGATTGATCGATCCAAATATTTGTGGGAATGGTCCCTAATTCTATTTTCGATACTTTGCCATTATTTTCTCACTTCATGCTTTTACGGTATTGATAAAGTTTGCGTTGTGTTGCACATGGATTCTAATATCTAAATGTGTCAAAATGTTTCTGTTTTAAACATCATTCTCTTCAGGTGTATTTGTTTACACTTCTGAGCCCCTATTTCCAATTTAAATGTAAACTTTTTCCATCTGAAATTATTTAAATTTTTTCAAAGTAATGAAAAGTTTCATTTTAGGAACGGAGCCCACCAGAGCGGCATTTTCTGTGCCGTGTCCAGAATATTAGAGAAGATGAAAGTGGAACAACAGGTGGACGTGTTTCACACAGTCAAAGCCGTGCGAATTAACAGACCACAGTTCATAGACAGTTTGGTATGTTGATAACTTAACCATAGAATCCAATTGAAATGTCTTCATATTCGTATATCTACCACAGAATCCATTTGAAATATCTTCATATGCTTATATCTTTCGCTCATCATACATTATATTTTACAATTATGTGGTAGCTGTTGAATGAATTAACTGTTCATGGGTGATGCATGTTAGTTTTGCTGTGCAGAGTTATTAAACGTTAATGTTTATCACTGTTATTCATTATTTCCAGGAACAGTACAGGTTCTGTTATGCTGCAGTAGAAGAGTACGCCAGGAGATTTGACAATTATGCCAACTTCCATATGTAACATTGCACACTATTTGTACATGTGCTAGTAACCTTGCAAGGTTTTATGTACAAACTGCTGAAATATAAGCAGTTATTCGGAATTGGAGACGAATTTTCCCAATGTTTGTGACCTATTGCACCTACGTTTTGTGTCATTCTTAGCCACTGCTTTGAAACATAAATTGCACTAGAGTGGATACTTTTTTCATAAGTAGTGCCTATACTCTAGATAGATTTTTTACCAGTACTTGTAACATGTACCCCTGGAGATCTACTCTGTAGTGCGGTTTAACGCTAAAAGAAGTCCTTTCGTTCCTTTATCAGACTAGAAAATCAATCGCCCACGCACCGACATGCTCATTCAAGAGACGAGCTAGGTAAAAAAACTGCTAATAGTTGATAAATACGCATAACAACGCAATGTCATTTATGTGGTATGGGGTTATTTCAGGCTGTGCATAAACGAATAGAATTTAGTTTAACGCGTATTGATAACTGAGTTGTAGTGGCCTCACTTATTTATAAGCTCACCAAAAGCCAGCATGAAGCAATTATTTATCTCAGTATATTTACTAAACGATGATCGATGTCTAACGTAAAGATTTAGATTAACCCTTGCACAACGAAGGTTCACCTAACACAATTAGCGCAATGGCATATTTCCCAATCACATCGAAAATTGTGCTTTATTTGCTTTTGCATGCTTTTTCTCATTTCTATTTGAATCACTTAATGATTAAAATTGTGTAATGTTCATAATATGCAAATAGCAAAATTCTTTTCAAATATGTATAGGTTTCGTTATTCGTTAAAAATTGACGTCGTTTAGAGGTATATGCTAAGGGAAATATGTAGATGCTCATATATGTGCATAACCAAATATGGTTACTTTGATCAGAAACGACTGAGATAAATTGCTTTGCAGAGAAAAAATAAAATCGACCGGACTGAATGCCTGTATCTTTCCACCTTGTCTCCCTTGTCCAGTTAGTATCCGACACATGTATAATAATAAAAATATTCTAAACCAAAATTCTAGGCCATGTCCAGTTTTAAGTTTCGAAAAACTGCTTTAAAACAAAGATGCATAACAAGTTTTATTATATAAGGATTTTTATTGATAGACAAACACACTTGATTAAAGATTAAGAGAACAATAAAGTCTATTTGGTACATTATTATTCAACAACACCCTATTTGGTTAATAATCTAACTCGGCTCATGATTTCGTCATATATTTATGTGCTAATATTTTTTAACGTGTATTAGGACTATTCGCGTTATACCTAAACTTTACCAATGACATATCATTTTCCTTTACTTGTGCGTGTGCGTACAGGTAATTTCATGGGCTCCATTAACTTCTCGTTGTACGTATCCATGCATGTGTTTACATCAAAATCTTTTACCTTGCCCTTTCATGAAAAACAAAAATCGCCCACCTGTTCCCCCCCCCCC